TCTGTTTGTTTGGATGGAATTTAAAAAACAAATAAAAAGGCTGTTTTCAGTCACTTTGCCGAGTGCATTGGCCATGACACTCGACAAAGTGATGACCTGAGAACATGCCTAGGAACATGCTTTGCCGAGTGCCAGACACTCGGCAAAGGTCGCCTGTTTGCCGAGTGTCTTGACGGTGGCACTCGGCACAATGGTCACCTTTGCCGAGTGTCTGAGTCAACGGTGCTCGGGCAAAGAGGCGACCTTTGCCGAGTGCTTGACCTTGATACTCGGCAAAGCCGTCGTCACAGTGGCGCTCGCCGTCACGGCGACTTTTCTTTGCCGAGTGTCAGATTAGCACTCGGCAAAAAGGTTTTTGCCGATAAACTGTTTACCGAGCGCCCTTTGCCAAGTGTAACACTCGGCAAAGGCTTTGCCGAGTGTATATCGGCCTTTACCGAGTGCCTGAGGCACTTGGCAAAGAAGCTAAATCCGGTAATGATATGCTGCATATCGATCGATCGATATGATATTCCTCTAGCATCGCATCGCATCGCCCGCAGCTAGCTGCAGAAGAGACAGAGAGGAAGACTGATCGATCGGGATTGGGAGGTCCAGCAGCCCAGTGCATGCATGTCGTCGTCGGCGGCTAGCTCTTCTCTCTTCCTTTTCTTTCGATCTCTTGTATAGCTAGCTAGCGGATGGCCTGACCTGAGAGAGACTGATCGACGACCGATCGATCGAGACACCTTTTTACATTCCTTTCGTCACCTTTTTAATTCGTTGCCGCGCGCCTCCCATGCAGTGCAGATGCAGATGCTGCAGCAGCAGCTGGCAGCTAGCTAGTTGGAAATGTTTTCGATCCCCCCCTCTCTCTCTCAGTACGTATATATAGCTGCTGCTACTAGAGACCGAGCAATGGAAATTATTTATATATATAAAATAAAGTAGTAGTAGCAGCAGCAGCAGCAATAGTAATTAGTAAAATAAAATGCAAGCATATAAAGTATGCACCAAATTAAAACTAACGTATGTAAATAAACGAGCTATTGGCTAGAAGCAACGACGTTAAACAAGCTAGGACAAAGCTAGCGAGCGAGCGAGCCAGCCTGCCCTTGAGCATGCAAGCTACTACGTACAAGATAATAAAGAGATATATAATTGAAAAGCAGAAGAAGGCGCCTCATGCATGCCGCCTCAGGCTCAGGCATCTCGTCAGTACATGCATGTGTGTTTTTATTTGCATTGCCACCAAGTTCCACTATGCCAGAAAAGCTTATTAGTGACGCGTCCAGACAGTCATTAGTGACGTGGAATACACGCGTCACTTACATTGCGTCTGTGATGTGAAAAGACCAGTGACGCGTAAAAGCGCGTCACTATTGATGGTCCACAGTGACGCGTATAGCCAAAACACGTCTCTAATTTGAATTATCAGTGACGCTTATGGACAAAACTCGTCTCTGAGGACGCTCTCATCAGAGACGTATTTTGGTTAGACACGTCACTGATGACAATTTACAAAATACAAAAAAAATAGAGAAAAACCTCCACTAGGGTCCTACATACATCAGACATGTTTCATCCATTCCATTAATCAAATTCTTTATACAATCTTTACATACAAAGCAATCAAACTCTTTATACAAACAAGTACACTTGAGGAGCTAAGAAATCACATCCACCTAGCAACAAAAGCAGTAGTGCAGACTGTACAGTAGTTACAAGAGAAAGCATTAATTTCCCTGGGTTCAAATTCAGTGTAGCCCCATATAAAGGATGGTTCTTTGACTTGGCCTTCCTTGCTGGATCATAATCGGCATTGCTGACACTTAGCTATTATTTGCTGCAAGCTGATACATGCAAACACCAAGAGCATAATTAAAAGATGAAGGGAGAGAGCATAACATTATTCAAAAATTGCAGACTGCTTCCACTGACATATACACAATGCTAGAAATAACAACAGCAGTTACTATTTCCTCATGACAATTGGGTATGTACACAGATGCTGCAATCATTAGCTGACTTTTCTAAACTCAGTATAGCAAAGTGATACAACTAATTACACAATAACAGCAGATGTACACTATTCAGCCAAACGTTGCTATTTTGACTACTGATGAGAGGATCCAATGATCCATAGTTGCAGACTAAAGGGAAAAAGGGGAGTGCAAGTGGAAGGCATCAGATAGAACACATTTTCAAATACATTATTAATAATTTAATACTCAACTTCATTTTTAGGAGCAAAGTTCTATTTTTCGCTGTTAGATGTACAGAATACTAGATCTCAGTAGTGGTAATATATATAGGCAAGGAAAAATGACTTAAAAAGGATAAAAGGATAGAGTACATAGCAATCAAATTACTTGCAAGAAGAGTTAACATGGTACTTGCCCATCTACAATTATCAATAGGTCGTGATATATATTGCCCACCACTTTGCAGCCCTCATCCTCATTGCCCAACTCAATGGATTTGTCTCCCCTGCGTCAAATAACCAGTTAACCACCATGAAGATAAAATGCAACTATCAAATTTATTAACACAGCAACTATCATATATTAGATTGATAACCCACTACCCAGAAGGGTAATTTTCTGTGTCACCATACAACAGACTGGAAGGGTAGTTTTTTTCTTTACCTAGCATCATATTGAGCAAAATTTCAGCTGTACCAGTGAAATATATACCCTTTAAAAAAGCACATGACATAAAACTCAAATTGGGACATGCTCCTGTACTAGACCTTCCATTCCAGGTACGAATCAAGCTGAAACTCCAAGTATTTAACCAAACATCTGGAGAAACATAAGAAAGTTTGCAGAAAAAGATTTCTGAACTCGAACTAGCAATTACAAAAAACAGGAGTTCTGATGGCATTATGTTTCATCCTCAAAACAAGCTGCTTATAGAACATGATGAATAAGTTACCAGATCGCTGCCACTAATTAATGTGAGCCAATTTACATTCAAGCATATTAGTAGCTCTGAACATGCAGTCTATACTCAAAACTACTAATTCAGATCATACTTTAATCTGTCATGACAGTTCTAGATGCCACTGTAAAGCAACACAGCAAAAAGATAGTGCTAGGTGCCACTGTAAAACAACACAGCAAAAAGATAGTGCACCAACTATGAAGGTTTGCAGCAGCACTAAAGCACTGGCCATAGCATACACATGAATTTAATCCAGGTTGTCTAAGAATCCAAGACCAAGATTAGAAGTACCTGAGTAATTGGGGTCGAAGCAAATCGATGAGTAGGTACAGACCTGCAACATCTGTAGCATATATCAATAGACACAGAAAATAGATAGATTTGGGTCTAGTTTCCATTTGAAGGGCACAATTACAATAGAAGGGTTCATGAAGTAGCATACCTACAGCAATCACTTCTAGGTCCTAGTGGCTTAGCCAAACCAGAGCCTGCTGCCATATAAATGCCCAATGTTTGCTGTTACATTTGAAAACATAAAGTGTTACCTACTTAAAAAGAGGTCCAATAAATACAAGGATGATTAAAATATTTTGATCAAGCATTACAAACAAAACAAGGAAATGTTAGCTAGCGTTTGCCTTCTTTCTAATGAAAGATAATTTCAGAATTTGCTGCGTAGTGCACCATCTATAATTAGCTCAAGTTCTCAACTTGTACAGCATGCATATCTCATGAATTCATGGCAGATTTGAACTGATGATATGTTAGAATTTATTTTAAACTTTTTGCCCACAAATTAGATATATTCAACACTAGATTCATCTATGAAGGTTGCTGAGAAAAATAAATTTCATTCACCAGATATGATAAGTATATCAGATATTCAGTGACTATATGCTTAAGCATCATGTGAAACTGAATTTGTTCTCTATAATTTGCACTAATAAGTAGCTGAATAATCTGTACTAAAAATACAATACCAAGCCAATGGCGAACCTGTAAACTAATTGACTTCAGTGCACATCCAATTGCAGTGTTCCAAAGACTAGCTTTAGAGAAGCTGTGACAATGGAAAAATAGGTATGAATGGAGTTACTATGAAGTTTATGGTAGTCAGTACACTAACATTGTCAGCAAGGATGTCAATTGTGCCTCAAATTGTAGTCAAATCAACAGAAACAATAAGAGGGGGCAACTGAAACTGCACTCATTCAGAAGAATATAACAGTCACAGAGCAAAATAATAGAATTGGCAACAACTGCAGATTTACATTAGGGTCAACTGAAAATTTAAAACACTTGAGCACATCCAGAAAATACTGCTAAAAAGTATCATTTATAGTCAGTCACTCGATCTGTTATAACATTTGAGGATAGGACAGATAGATATTGCTTTATACTTGGAGGTACCGCCAGATAAACATTTGAGGATAGGACAGAACTATCACTCTTCACTCTTAATTAAAAAGTTGCCCTTTTCACGAAATTCTGGGATCAATACAGTTTCAACACATTTCCACTAATATTCTACATCAGAACTAATTTGATGGTTCCATCATTTCTTTTTCTTGCCAAACAGAAATTATAGTTGACAATCTATTTGGCTTTACAAATTTGAGCAAGTGATCATATAGACTCCTCGATGTCAGTACTATACATCTTTTTATAGCTAGTTGTAGAAATACAAATTCCTTTTAAACAGGAGTTTGCTGAATGAAATGATGCTTACATGGTTGATCTATTGCTGTGAAGTGTCAATGCATCAGCTAAAGAAAGAAGCCTGCCACTAACTAATGCTGCCCTCGATTGTATAACAGAATCAGCTCAGGAAACACTGCACAAGGACCAAAAGAAAAGACAACATATAATAGCTGAAAACATAACAGAAGGAAAAAAACAGAGTATAAGTGAAAGTGACCCTATAAATTGGTTGGTAGAGGCAAGTTTCTTAGGATCTGAAATCTGAGTCCAATAGAGCCTGTTTTGTAACGGTTTTAAAAAAATATGTGTACACTCATAACAAAACCATGCAACCTAAAATGAAATGAGTAGCTTTTTTGAGAATTGCTTATGTCCTATGATAGTTTCTTGGACAGAACATCAGGAGTGAAGAAGAGCTGCAGAGGCCAGTCGACAGAATATTCAAGAACAATACTATCCCACCCATCAAGTACCAGTGCTGATGCAGCTTTTCCTTGTGAAGGAAGCTCTGAAGCATTAGATTTTTGAAGATCTTTCTGAGACGTGCTACTTTTCATACCATATGATAGCTCCTACAAGACATAAGCTTACAATGAGCCATGGTCTAACAACCCAAACTGACTACTCAGTGAACAGAAAGCACAGGCATGTCGGTATCTTACTTTAATATAATGGCACAACATCTACCTGACTAACAAAGTTTTCAATGGCAGCAAAAAGATCAGTGATATTGCTACTTGGCCAGATATACTAAGTAAAAAAACAGAGAAGCCAGTGATATGTATTTCAGTATGTGCCAACATGAAAAAAAGAGATGTTCACCCGACTATGTAGGTCCAGTGCAAATTTGCATGGTCTGATGTGTGATATTGCTTCTATTACGATAAACTATCATCAATTAATAGATCAAAGGAAGTGACTGTCCAATTAGAGTGGATGTTGCAGTGTAGAACAGCCATCCAGCACTGGCAAATTGTGATCATGCCTATATCTAGGTACATGAAGCAAAGTTTTTATGTACAGATCACAGGTTCCTAATGACAGTACTAGACATTTGTTGATTTTTTTCTCCATAGCAAATGATGCACTGAATAAGTGATGAACCATTCCTAGACATGAAGAATGCAGAGTCTAGAACTCAAAATTATCACAACAAAATGTAGCAAGCAGTTAGTAACACCACGCCCAGTAGCCTAGCGCAGCATATTAGGAAACATGGATAGGTCAAACAATAAATAGGAAACTAATAATCCGCATCATGGGAAAACCCGTGACAATTGAAAAGCACCAAAGACAGAAATTAGATCTGACAGGAAAATTAAGGCTACCTACTAGCTAGGGAAGAGATGTTCTAATCTCATCGTAAATTGGATATTCCTAGCTCCACTGCTTGATCACCAACGCACGTCCCTGACAAGCTAAACTGAACCCAATTTAGTCACCTGCATCAAGCGAGGGGATCGAGCGGCCGGCCAAGTCAGGTGGTCTTGCCGGCATTGCGCCGAACACCTGCTAGGCATGCGCGCTACAGACAGTGCGGCTCTAAGAAAGCATTTCCGCGTCGGTGGTCTGGGTGACCCCACATGAGCAGAAACTGCTGCTGGGAGGGGGGAGGGGAGGAGGAGAGAGCTCACCACCGCCGATGGACGGGGCCCACGCGTCGTCGCTGCTGGTAGGGTGTGCGCCATCGTTGGAGGGGTTGTACACCATCAGCGATACGGTCCAGGGGCACACGCACTGCCGCTGGTAGGAACCCCCGCCGGTGTTGCCTGGAGCCACCCCGCTTGCTCCGCCTAGAGCCGCCCCTGCATGCACCAATTGTCCTTGCCACAAGGGAGGCAGCGGCTCCGGCCAGATCTGGAGGAGGGGGGAGAGAGAGAGAGAGGCGGATGAGGAGTGGTGCCGGTGGAGGAAGAGACGAGAGAGGTGGCAGTGGCGGGCGGAGGAGGAGGGGCGGACTGGGGGACGGCAGGGCAGGGTGCCGTGGCGGAGGCGAGAGAGAGGATGGGTGGGTGACGGGGTGAGGGCCTGAGGGGGCATGGCTGCACGGCCAAACGGGAGAGGACGGGAGGAGCCGGACTCCACTCCTCGGCTTAGCGCGTTTGATAATTTTTCGGGTCCGAGGTTTTTCAGGAGTGACGCGTTTAGACCCAACGAGTCACCGATAATCTCAGTGACGCGTGATGTTATGAAGAGTCTCTAATAATTTATCATTAGTGGCGTGTTTTGATTTCTGACCATGGGCAAGTTCTAATGAGTGACGCGTTCCATTTACACATGTCACTGATATGAAATTAGTGACGTGCTTTAATTGCAGGTCACTAATGAAGGTGTCTCCTTTGTGCTGTTTTGGCATAGCGTTCCAGCCATCGTCGGATGTGTAGTTGGGTGACCTTTTATTTTTCAGCTAGCTAGCTAGCTAGCGCCATGGATCGGTGTCACATACAGTAGCCTACTCTGTATATATATACGTACCTGGTTTTTTTGATTCATGCATTTTAATTCGGTGACGCGGTTAATTAATTCAGTTATATTTCTTTCCCAATCCGTTTCGGATGTTTAATTTAATTTGAGACTTTTGCTATTTATCTGTCGACAGATATTTTATGTACTAAATCTGTCATATTTCTATACATCGGATTGTGCTTTAGGATTTGTGCTACAACTGTCACTTCAACGGGTTTGTAACTATTGGGTCGTATTTATAAAAAATCTAACAGATTTGACCACACGAAATCTGTCAGACACATAACTAGACACTCCCTTAATTTGATGCATCCTGTTGTTCGTGTGTTTCAAAGCCTGTCAACAACCGCATGTTCACAGCCCTGAAAACAACCGCAGTCAACAGAAAAAGAAATATAATTGAGTGTTAACAGGTGTATCAACACACGAATTTCAGACCATGAGATTTTAATCTGGCGGCCTATTGAATTCTATTGTTCCGTTTGATGTCTGTTGTTCAAGTGCATTTTGGCCGATGCTCCAGATTCTAGACTTATGATGAACGCACGTGCCACAACCTTCTTTAGTGAATCGGAGCAGCATAAAAAAATCATTACGTGAAAAATGCAGCTGCAGAAATAACAAATTGAAAGAAAACATGTTTGAAAAATAAGGACAAATTTAATTTTAAAAGGTCCTAAAAATCATTACCACTAATTATTAGACCTGCCACGACCCTAATTACGAAGCAACAAAAATACAAACTCCTGCACTGTGACCATATAAAAGAACAAGTTGCCATCCGGAGGCTCAACTATAAATACAATCCCTAAAAATAAAAAAAGAACAAGCTGCCAACCGGGGGCTAAACAAAAATTAGTAACATAACTGACAGTTATGTAATGATTGCACCACCACCTATACTTTGATTTGTTCACTCGCATATGGGTCTCGGTTCGTTGTCGTATGTGGGTCGCTGCTAAAGCCAATCTGCTATCAGAGACGCTGTGTTTCACTATCCAGGTCTCTGAAAATATTTTATACACGATACATTTGGAATTTTGATTGAGCCTAAAATAAAAAATGGATGATGCAACCCTAATCAATATGGACGATGCAACAACATTAACCAACATGCACGAGTATACGAGATCATGTTTAATAAGAATTCTAAAAAGTAGAGACATGAAAGGACAGTAGGTCCAATCCATAGTCCAAATCAATATGATAGTTGGCCGTTATATCTACCGCGGTCCTAATTAGGAAGCAACAAAAACATAGACTCCTACGTAGCGAACATATACAAGAACAAGCTGCTAATTGGTGCGACAAATTTTAAAAACAACCCAACACCAAAAATAAAAACAAAACAATCTGCCAATTGCGGGCAAATTTTAAAAACGTCCCCACAACAACAACAGTACAACAAAACAAGCTTGCAATTGGGAGGATAATTTTTTTTTAAAAAAAAGCAACAATAACACAACAAAACAAGCTGTTAATTAGGAGCCAAATTATAAAAACAACCCCAAACAACAAGAATAAAAAAAGCTACCAACTGGGGGCCAAGTTAGAAATAACCCAAAACAACAAGAATAAAAAAAATAAAGCTGCCAACTGGGAGGCAAATTGCAAAAACAACCACAAACAACAAGAACCAAAAAAAAGAAGAAGCTGCCAACTAGAGGCCAAATTATAAAACAACCCTGAACAACAACAAAGAAGACAACTGCCAACGGAGGGCCAAAAAATGATCCGAGGTCTCCATGACTAAAGCCTTTGCTAGGGTTCTAGGGTATTTGATTGTCCAAGAGGAAGATGCGAAGAATCATTCTAGCCTTTCCAAAAGGGGATTAAATTGCTTGTTAGACCAGGTAAAATGTCTCCCATGGAGTGGGATGTCAATGACTCCCAAAGCACTAATAGCCTCATTAAACCGATCCATTTCATTATCACCACCATACCTATTCCTGTCTTCTGGTTTCTAATGATATTGAAGTCTCCCACAATTAGTTAGTCTATGTGGTCTGGCACATGGATGTTCTTGAACCACTCAAGAAACAATCTTTTGCCACTGGGAGTACAGGGGGCATAAACTGTGGTTAGGATCCAGCTTTCATTGTTGAATTTTGATGTAAATTCCATTGAGATGGCAAACTCATTTTGAAAAACTTCCACACCACTAAAGATTGATCCTTTCCAAATGATAAGGATCCCACCTAAAGCTCCCACTGAAGGTTTGAATTGGAAGGAGTCAAAGGATAGGGGGCATAAATTTCTAATGAAACTGATGTCAAACAACTCTCTTTTGGTTTCATGAAGACAAATTACATCACCGTGACTTTCCAACACCTTGCACTACCGGAAACAGGCCCGTTGCCAAGAGCCAGCGTCTTTGCCGAGAGCCAAATGTCGGGCTCTCGGCAAAGAAAGGTTTGCCGAGAGTCGGCCCTCGGCAACGGTAGGCCGTCGGCAAAACCATATTTGCCGAAGGCTAGGCCGTCGGCAAAGAATTCCTCTCAAGAAGCGGGCCCTTTGCCGAGGGTCCGCCGTCGGCAAAGAAAGAAAGGCCGTTGGCAAAAAGTTTATCTTTGCCGAGGGCCGGCTCTCGCAAAGCATGGCCGTCGGCAAAACTCCGTGACGGCAGCAAACGGCCTTCACCGCCGTCTGTTTTGCCGAGGGTCGAATTTGGCCCTCGACAAAGAATTACTTTGCCGAGTGTCGCTTTTCGTGCCCTCGGCAAATTTTTTTTTTGCTTTTTTGCTTCCAAATTTTTCCTTGGGTTTCTTGTTGTACCTTAAAGTACATATTAAAATTTGGAGTTTTTGGTTTTATTAGCTATATTTAATAAGTTTATTTCATTTACTTGAATTCTTCCGGTAATTCAAATTTGAGCTATGAGTGCATCGAATATTGGAATTGAGTGATTCAAAAAATCATATTCATGGTATTGCATGTGGTGTGAGACCGTGTCCAATGGCGAGATGCCAAATTTGGCGCATCGTTTTTCACCGAAATGAGAACTTGCTTGTAAAAAGTATTTTTAAATTATATAAAATGGAACGACCGAAAATTCATGAAACTTATCCGGTGTCATTTCATACATATGTTTTGTGATAAACTGCAGAGTGGGTTTAGAGCCATTTTATATAATTTAAAAATACTTTTATAAGCAAGTTCTCAGTGTTCTTGTGGAAAACGATGCGCCAAATTTGGCATCTCACACGGATACTTGGCCTCACACCACATGCAATACCATGAATATGATTTTTGAATCACTCAATTCCAATATTCGATGCACTCAGCTCAAATTTGAATTACCGGAAGAATTCAAGTAAATGAAATAAACTTATTAAATATAGCTAATAAAATAAAAAAACTCCAAATTTTAAATATGTCTTTTAAATATTATTGTTAGCCACCAGAAAAAATTGGGAAAAAAAACAAATTTTTTTTTTGTATTTGCCGAGAGCCTCAAAGGGCTCTCAAGAAAGAGTTTTTAAAATAAAAATAAAAAAAACTTTGCCGAGAGCCGGATCTGGGCCCTCGGCAAAGGCCGAGTCCACATAAACCGCTCTGGCCCAGCCTCGGCCTCTCCTCTCCTGCGCCCAGATCCCCTTCCTCTGCTCGCCACCGGTCCCATGCTGTGCCATGCACCTCTCCCCGCCTCGCCACATCACTTGCAGAGCCTGGCTGTCCCCTCCTCCCTCCCATCCAGAGGCAGGCCCCGCCCGTCCCCACGCCGCCGAGCAGCAGCCAGCCCGCTGAGCCGTCGTCGTCGCCCCTCCCGCGTGCCGGTGGTGGGCACCGCCGCCGCGGTGGCTCCACCCCACGGCCACAGCGCGTCCCGGCCATGCCCAGCCGGTGGACCACCCCATGGCCAAGACGTCCTCGGCCGGCCCAGGCTTGCGCCCATGCCATGCCGGTGTCCCCCCCCACGGCCCGGTAGCGTCCCCGCCACGCCGCCGGTGGTGGCCTACCCCCACGGCCAATGCGTCCCCGACCAGCCCCACGCGCCCCCGGTCGGCCCCGTGCGCCCCTGCCGGTCGTGCAGAGAGCATTTGGAGGAGGAAGGGAGAAGAGAGGAGAAGGAGAAGGGGAGAAGAAGAGGAGCAGGGGAGAAGGGAGGAGGAGGGGAGAAGAGGAGGAGAAGGAGAGGGAGAGGAGAAGGAGAGCAGGGGAGAAGAGGAAGGGAGAAGAGCGGTGGGGAGAAGGAGGGGAGAAGGAGAGGCCGACGACCGTC